CCACCAAGCGGGGCCCCTGGTGTGGGACACCGCCATCGCCTCCACCGCCCAGGCCTGGGCGGCCGGCTGCCCCAACGGCCACTCAGGCACCAGTGGCGTGGGGGAGAACATGGCGTGGGGGTACCCCAGCCTGGTGGCCGCGGTGGACGCGTGGTACGCCGAGGTGAGGGGAGGGGCCAGGATAGGGTAGAGGTGCACTCAACAGCTAGCTACAACGCGCATACTCCAGATGGCGGGTAGATTGTGGCTACTCTTTGAACAGTGACTTCAGCAGTCTTGCGGGGATTTTGCAGTCCCGACTCAAAGTCCACTACCTAATTGCAGTCTCCAGAATAGATGCTTGAGCCGTCTGTCTATCTGCCACACACCGCCCCCACTTCTGCCCTCTCCAAGTGTTACACCATTTGTGTGCCATCCCAAATTTCTGCGTCATCCCCTCCACAATGAATTGCGGCTGCAGGTGAAGGACTACGACTTCTCCAACCCCGGCTGGAACCCCTCCACCGGCCACTTCACGGCCCTGGTCTGGAGGGACACCACAAGGCTCGGCTGCGCCGTCAACACCCAGTGCAGCTGGGCCACGTACGTCTGCCAGTACGGGCCGCCAGGTGTGCGCGCTGCCGGTGATGCGATCGTGCCGCTGGTGCAATTCTACTTCCCAAGGAGCATGGCGTCCCACTTCACATTTGCCGACCGCCGATCTGCGATCAAGGAAGCTGAATCGCCTGAAAACCGAAGACACGTGCAACGGGTCCGCGTCGTGCTGTTGGCAACCCTCACAACCCCCACACTCGCTCGAATCTTGCTCAGGCAATGTCATCGGCGTCGACTGGTCAACTGAAGTCATGCCCCTCGGATCAGCCCCACCGCCGCCAGCCGCCTCCCCGACGCCCATCGCGTCGCCAACCCCTTCACCGACGCCGTCGCCGCCGCCGGCGCCCGTGCCGTCCCCAACCCCCTTGCCGTCCCCCAGCCCCGTGCCATCCCCAAGCCCTGCGTCGCCAGCCGGCACAGCGCCCGATGCGGAGGCTGCAACCGTCCTGCAGCGCCACAACCAGCTCAGAGCGCGCCACGGCTCCCCACCCCTGGCCTGGGACGCTGCACTGGGCCGCGCAGCTGTGGCCGCCGCCGCCACCTGCAGTACCACCAACTCACATCCAGCGGGTTCGTCCGAGAACATGGCCCGAGGCTTCACGACCTTCACGGCAGCAGTTGACGCGTGGTACGCTACGATATCCTCCTACGACTTCAGCCACCCTGGGCCCCAGGCAGCAGCACCAAATGCGGCGCTGTTTGCCAACATCGTGTGGCGCGCAACGACAGGCGTCGGCTGTGCTGTCAACCGCGGCTGCACAAGGCCGTTCTACGTCTGCATTTACCTGCCGGCTGCGAGTGAGCGGCCACGCCTTGTGTGCGCACAACGGCTGGTCGCTGCCGTGTGGCAACAGCTCTAGCATTTGTCGTGTTGCACGGATCAGCTTTGCGCATTCCTGGCAGTCGCTGGCGGTGCATTGTCACACAGCGGGTTGTGGGGTTGACACCAGGGGCGTCGTGATCACCCAGCTGCACTTTCTTATGCTGACGGTGTGCTTGCCTGGGCCTTGACAAACAATCCTCCGCGCCCACCGCCACCCTCGCCTTGTGCCAGCCTCTGACCCTGCAGCCTGGGCAGCAAATGTCCTCCCCGCCATCGGTGCGGTCCCCATGCCCAATCAGCCGCCCTCCAGCGAGCCTGTACTGGCTGTCAACAATCCCAGTGCGCTGCACGTCACGCACAGCGCGTCATGGATGCGTGTGGGGGAGCCACTGGCGATTGAGCGTGCTGACCAGGAAGCATTGGCGGCGCCTGTTGTGCAGTGGCCGGCGGCAGCGGCGGTGCTGTCACCAGACCTCCAGGCGGCCCTGGACGAGACCAACCGGCTCAGGTGTGAAAAACCAGAGTGTTACTCTTGGACATAACAAGGAACACACGTGATGGATGTTGTTTTGTAGTTATAGGAAACCTTTGGTGTGTCGCAACGACTGGCTCAACCCTGCAAGCACTGTTACTGGAACGGCAAGACATCCACATTGTCAAGGGTCCCCCACCCCATCCTCACACTGCTGCGACGCCGCCCTCTCGCAATGCACCACTCTGCCCCACCGCCGCCCCACAGGGCCCGCCACCAAGCGGGGCCCCTGGTGTGGGACACCGCCATTGCCTCCACCGCCCAGGCCTGGGCGGCTGGCTGCCCCAACGGCCACTCAGGCACCAGTGGCGTGGGGGAGAACATGGCGTGGGGGTACCCCAGCCTTGTGGCCGCGGTGGACGCGTGGTATGCCGAGGTGAGGGGAGGGGTGAGGGGAGGGGTGTACCTAGCAGCCAGGCAGCCATTATTGCGAGCCTGCGCAGGCGTGCATGCGGCGAGGTATGTGTGTATATGTGTGGGGGGGGGGGTATGGAGCGTCCAGCCATGTTAAGGGCAATTGTGCCATGTCAACAGGGCGTTGTGGCTTTCATGTGCCACCCGAGCGCCCTTCTGACCGCACCGCACCCCCGCCCCCCCCCCCCCCCCC